GGGGCAGCACTAGGAAGATTGAGAACCACTGTTAGGCCATAGTCCTGGAGGCAGCACTAGGAAGATTGAGAACCACTGTTAGGCCATAGTCCTGGGGGCAGAAACTCACAGCTTCACTTTCATTTGTGTGCCTGTTAGGCACATGAGAAATGAAACCCTTGATTCTCACCCACATCCACCTATCTAAATCCTCCTTTGGCCACAATAGATTTTGAGAAACCAGAAGATCAATTCTATCTATCTGTCTGTCTATCTATTTATCTATCTATCTGTCTATCTATTTATCTATCTATCTATCTATCTATCTATCTATCTATCTATCTATCTATCATCTATCAATTCCTCTCTATGTCTGGATGTATCTATCATCTATCTATATATAATACATATAATTAATACATCATTTAACAATAACATCAAAGAAAATAACATCCAAAGAAAGCTACTTCTTTGGGAACAGATAAAGACTGGAGATGTATAATGATATTTTGTTTATGATCTAACAAATACTACAAAATCTTCAGACTGAAAAGAGAGCGTGTTCCTGTCTCATCCCGCCTTATCTTCCTCTCCAGTGCTGGGATTCAAGGCATGCACCACCACCACCCGGCCTCTCTGGCTAACTAGTGTGACTGCTGGGACTAAAGGTGTGTGCCACCACGGCCTGGGCTGGATGGCTGACTAGTGTGCCTAGCTTTGCACTCTGATCTTCAGGCGGGTTTTATCTGCTAGATCATAAACAAAATATGACTGTAGAGATGTTGGCACAACCCCACTTCTCCTGTCTTAGGCAGCTCTGGTCTGACGGATTTCCCCTTGGAGTACATCAATCTGAACACACAGGTCAAAGCTCAGGGATTTCCTCAGGTGTCACGGTGTCCTTCCATGTGCAGGAACAAGGCACGTGAGTGTGGGTCTGAAGGGCCTTTGCTAAGGTGACAAGTAGCCATCATGTCTTGATCTTTCTTCTACCTTTCTCGATGATCTTCAAGACAAATCCTGTCTCCACCCCTATTTAGGTTTTCTACGCTCTTTGATTTCAAACTATTGGTCTCTTAGAAACAAACTTTGTCTTCGCTTTGGATTCTTTTATTATCAAAGGGGGCGGGACCTTCAAAATAAAAACTTAAACACAGAGTCGGTCTCTAATCACCCCCTCATACCACACAGCGGACGGCAGTCCCTAAATTCAGCTTTCCTTTGCCGTCCAAAGCAGGTAACTGCAAAACCAGCACCGTTTGCAACTGTGCCCACTGATTTCACTTAAACTAATCAATTTAAAACGAGCTTTGCACACTAATTTTAAATGATTCCCTTCCTTCTCTTCTGCATTTCTCTGGTCTATTTTAATGCCACTTTCTATATTCAGTGGCATCTGCGTCTTTTATCTTGAAAACACGAACATTAATCACAGTGAATTCATTTTGAAGTGCAGTGCTTTGCTTGCTGAGCAGATGAGTGCATTTCCCAAGATGCTGGTGTTCATCTCTTGGGTAATAGTAGAATTACTTGCGCAACTTTGAAAACTACAATACTCTGGCCCCATCCAAGATCAAATCGATGTGCCAGAAAACCGAACCGGCACAAGAATTTATTTTTCAAGTTCCCAAGCAGTCAGTCCCACAGCGCAGCCATCGTTGAGGACCAGAGAGCATGGTGCACACCTGTGAGTCACCAAGAGCCAGCGCAATGTTGGGAGCAGCAGCAAGAAGCAGCTAACTCCGAAACTCAAGACCATGCTATGGTTAATCCAGACAACGGGTCACATCCCTAATCAAATCCTTAGCTGACTTCAACACTATGTGACTAGACACAGCGATTCCCTCGCAAAATAAGGATGAAAACACAAATAAATGGATCAACACTTAAGGATACTTGAAAGAAACCCTTAATGGAAGGGCAGCATTCTCCTCAGAGGCCCGCAGTTCAACGAGGTACGTATTTGTAGCATCTGTCCCCTCCCCGTCGTTTGCTGTAATGCTTTGAGGAAACTCCAGGAAAAAGTAGTTGCTCTATTATCTGAGAAGGGATTTCCTAACTGTTTCCTGTGATGCTTGGATTTGGAGAGAATGTGAGAGGTCGGTGAGACATGAAAGGAATAGGTTGGAAAATTAAAAGTAAGGTAGGTGGGATAAAGCTCTGTGTAGCCAACGGGACCAGGCAACGGGGACTGTCGAGTCGCAAGGACACCATAGAAAATAACCCTCATGATGCACCTGACTCTACCATGATATTTTGGGTACATTGAATTTTTCCATTACCCAATGCTTACAGAAATTTCCAAATTGAACACTTAATGGACAAAAAAGTGATGTTTGCTCTATAAATACTACAATACATCATAATTTGGACAAAGATGCATACTTGGCAGAGGAAACATTGCCTTAATTGATGGAGCGGCCATTCATCACTTTCTGGACCACAACATATGTCATTTTCCCAGTTCTGACAATTTTGTGGACAGTCTGCTTAAGAGTTTGTTTGGTACCTCTTTAAAGCAACTACTGCCAAGTTCTTAACTGGCACTGAGGGGGGAAATGAGATTATTTACAAGTGGAGAGACAGAGAACTTTAGTATTACATAAAACTTCGTGATTGCTTCCAAGTGATTTAAGAATCAATGTCCTAATGATTCCAATTGATTTCTATTGCCAGATCCTGCCTGGAAATTGTGGACTTGTTTTTTGTGGGAAATCCTAATTTCTCTATGCCAAAATTAGATATTAACCATATACTGGTATGCATATGCCCATGTATAACTTCTTATTGATTAAAGCACTATCTCAATAATAATTAGCAGTGTTTCAACAACTATGCCCCCTTCTGCATGACAAACTAAAGTATCTTCGAAATCAGTAAATGACTACTTGACATCTTTCTTAGATGTTTTCTACTTAATTCTGATTTTTGAAAAACCTTCTAAATCCATGAGAGTTCTTTTTCGATTACTAAACCCTAGGCGGATTCACTCACATCTGTCTTTGAGACCCTACCACTTGTTCAAGGGCTTGGATATTAGATTCTGTCTTAGAAATGTCTATTTCTATATTTGCTGTGCCTACATTATGGTCATTTTCAAAGCAAACGAGTCTTCATGCATTATCAGGAGACTTCCAATGAGGAGTCAATCATATTTTTAAAGAGTAATTACTTCTAACTTTCCAAATTAATGAGTTACTCTGGAGTTTCTCTGCACAGCGAATGGTGAGCTAGTTTAAAACCCTAATTCAGATTAATTTATCTTGTCATGTTCAAAAGAACGCGCTCCTGCGTGCACAGAATTCCTCTCCTTTGGAATGGTTTCCTGCTCGGTCTTCAAGCGCAGCCCTCACAAAGTAAAAAGAGACAGCAACTTAAATAAACAGAGACACCTTTAGTTGGTGACAGAAAAGACCGAAGGCATCAAAGAACCCTCCTGCAGAAGCAGGCGCGCTGCAAAGCTCAATTAGTTCACGGACTGAGGACAGTGCTTTTTATAAGTGCTTTTTTCCCCCTGGGAACTTTTCTGAGTCTCCCTCTCTGCTCTCCAGAAGCTCACAAGTCCTAACCAGGTTTTATCTATTTTTTTCCTCTTTTTTTTTTCTGCTTGTGACAACAAAAGAAGTTGTCAGGGAAGGTCTGTGCTTGGTATATTTCACCGAGAAGCTTTCTATTTTCAGTAAGTTTTACTGTTCTCCAATTGCTCCTGATTATCCCCACTTGGAGGTGGTTGGGACCCACGCCCATCAAACAAACAAACCGGACCTGAATTTCTCGCTGAATCTCTCACTGAATTCCTGTTGATCCCCTTCTCTCCCTTCCCCTCCCCCAAATAGCCCATCTTTAGACCTCAAGTTAAAATCCTATGTTTAGAACTCAAAGGCAAAGGTCTAAGACTATTCCAGGAACGAAGAGACCCCTCCCTTCAAGCTCTCAAAGGTCGCGTCATTGGGAGTGCTTGAGGCCCGTTGAAGTTCAGGCGCCGGTTGACCTTAGCAGCTGGGTCCTGGCTAACCCGTGGCTATGTTTAAAGGAAAAGTTAACTTTCTTTACCCCTTGAGTTTAGGTAAACCCGTCCTGCGGGTGCTGCACCTGAGCTTGGAGGGAGCTCAAAAACAACAAATGTTTTCAGAGAGACTCTGGGTACCACCGCCCCGCGGGCAAACACACCCCGAGAATTGGAGCCCTGCAGCTCCACAGATGTGTGCACGCACCTAGTGCCTCCTATGTTCTTCTAGCAAGGACAGTACACTCCAGATCTTCCCCTGGGGTCTATCCCCAACGCTGGGCTCGAACCCGCATCCGTTAGGCGGGAGCTCCCGCGTCCTTACCTTGGGGTTGGTCAGGAGCTGGTGCTGGTCGCTGTGTAGCAGCGCCCTGGAGTTGGACTCGGAGTTGTTCACGTATACCTGGACGCAGGGGTACTGCGAGGTGCCCCTGCAGTCGGTGCCACAGGTGAAGGTGCACTCGAACACCTCGCCGATCTGCTGCACCGACAGCACCGTGCAGTTGGCCGCCGTGGCTTGCAGATCCTGCAAGGCGGGACTGAGCCAGCAGAAGCCGAAGATGAAGAGCGACACGACGCCGGAGATGATGAGGAACAAGCCGAGCCGGATGCTCTTGTCTTCGGCTTC